AGTTGGTTATAATGAAAATGAAGGAAACAGAAATGGGGTTGGAGGGTCTGGTGAAGAAAGGCATGGAGTTGGGGGAGATGGCATTCAACAAAGACGGTGGAGTCATCAACTGGTTCTCCACTCACATGGCTACTGCCACCCGCGCCATCCGCCAATGCCTCAAGCTCTCCATCCTCGTCATCAAAGTCTGAGATTCTCAAAATACCATTATCCTCTGCTCATAAAGAACTGCAGCCTCAGCTCTCAGCCAAAAGCTTGCCAGTGTGAAAATCCCTCTAATCAGCTGCTAGGGAGCAAAAGTCTATGGTTCCAATGACAGAAGAAGACTAAGCAACTATGGCCGGGCCGACTATGGCTGGGCTCCGTTACTCAAGCTCGACAATGATGAGCTGCAAGCATCTTACTCGAGCATGCGCTGAAACAACTTGCTGGAGCACGAGGTGCAAATATCCTACTTGAGCACGAGCTGCTACAAACGTCTTGCTCGAGCACAAGCTACGAATTGCAAAAGTCCAAGCTACAAATTGCACAAGTCCGAGGTGCGAGATGCTGAAGCACGAGTTGCGAAATGCTGAGATGCTAAGTGCTGGACCATGAGCTGTAAGCTGCCGAGGTCAACCACCAGTTGCAGAGCTCAAACACTTGCTGCCGAGGTCGAGCACAAAGTGCAGAAATCAAACACAAGCTGCAGAGCTCCAACACAAGCTACCGAGCTCAAACACAAGCTACAGAGGCCAAGCATGAAGTGCAGAGCTCCAACACGAGCTGCTGAGCTCAAACATGAGCTGCTGAGCTCAAACAGGAAGTGTAGAGCTCCAACACGAGCTTCCGAGCTCAACCACGAGCTGCTGAGGTCAACCACGAATTGCAGAACTCAAACACTTGCTGCCGAGGTCAGCCACGAGCTGTAGAGGTCGAGCACGAAGTGCAAAACTTGAGCACAAGCTGCAGAGCTCAAACACTCACTACCGAGGTCAGCCACGAGCTGCAGAGGCCGAGCATGAAGTGTAGAAGTTGAACACGAGGTGCAGAGGTCGAGCATGAGCTGAAAACACCTGCTGCCGAGGTCGAGCACGAAGTGCAGAACTTGAGCACAAGCTGTAGAGCTCAAACACTCACTACCGAGGTCAGCCACGAGCTGCAGAGGCCGAGCATGAAGTGCAGAAGTTGAACACGAGGTGCAGAGGTTGAGCATGAGCTGAAAACACTTGCTGCCGAGGTCGAACACAAAGTGCAGAACTTAAACACAAGCTGCAGAGCTCAAACACTCACTGCTGAGGTCAGCCACGAGCTGCAGAGGCCAAGCACGAAGTGCAAAACTTGAATACAAGGTGCAGAGGTCGAGCATGAGCTGAAAGATGTGCAACACGAGCTGCAAGGTGTCAACACCCTCAACAAGGTGCCGACACTTTTCTTGCATCCGTCCTGAAGAGTCCGTGTCGGGTTTTTGTCCTTCTCTGCAAATTCTGTTAACGGTAAAATTACATCCCGACCCCTTACTTTTGGATTTTGCACAATTTAATTCTCAAATTTTATATCTTTTCAATTTACTCCAAAAGATTGTGACTTTTTTCAATTAAGTCCTCTCCAGCACAAAATGAAAATTATGCAAAATTAAGTAAATTTTCATAAAATTCATCCAAATGTCAATAATATCAAGGCATAAATTTTACATTAGTATGTATATAAATTTAATTCATCAACCATATATTGTTTTGAAAATTAAAAAAGATGAACTAGTAATCTTTTTCTTTTATTTATTTTATATATACTTTCTTGATTATAAAATTGGATGCCTTTAATTTCTCTTGTTTTCAAGTCCTCATGATACATGTTGTTAAGAAAGCAATTAAGCTCCACAGCAAATTACAGCTTTGGCCCAAGCTTGGTCCAATCTTATATTGAAATTTATTATTAATTGCTTTCCGCATTCTTTGCATTCATTCCACATTTTTCCATTCATTCTGCACTTGTTTTTGCATTCATGATATCATTTTGCCATCTCATTTTTTATGTATCATAATAATGCCACTTTGCTCATTCGCACTTATGATTATAAATATACATTGCTATTTTAGAGATGGAAAAGTGCAGGGACTCCATGTGAGGTGGGTTCTAGAGAAATCCCTTTATGGTGAGCTCCTCCTATACGAGCTATGAACAACTCCTCCATCAAAAATTTTCAAAAGGCCGCGGGCCCAAACCATAAAGCTCAACAGCTTACAAAGATGATCAAGTAAATTTCTTCTTTGGCATCATTTATGAGAGGCTAGATTTTTTCTCCACATTTGCTCCTGGGTCAAGGCAAGGACTTAACATCATTCGTAAGAAGCTAAATTCTTTCTCGAGTTTCTATCTCATCAAGCACAATTCTTTCTCAAGTATAAATTAATTCTGCTCTGCAAGTCAAGTAAGTGTTACATATTAGAAATTTCAAAATTATTTTGCACATTTAAGATTTTTATGAGTTATTTTGCATGTCCAATTTTTGTTCTTATATTTACATGCTAGACAGACTTATTATTACAACATGCATGACTGCTTGTTTATTGGACATGTTAAAGCATAAAATGCAACTAATGTAATTTATGATTACAACGTTTATGTTTACCAGCCCCAAATGTGCGGGTTTAGGGGGGAGAAGAGTCATCATTATGACTTCTAATAGGAACCTATGATTAAAAAGTGCAGCTT